GTCCCCCATGGTGGGGAGATGGGCGGGGACAAGTCCAATAAATAAATAAAATAAAATAAATAATAGATATGGATGTACTAGTGCAGACCCATACTCTTGTTCTGCCAGAATGAGAATGAGAAGGGTCTTGGATCAGATGAAGTATAAGGTGCCTTCAGAGTTCCCAACCCTAAATTTGCACTGCTGAAATTGAAAGGCTTGGGGCAAGGAAAAATGGACCATGGCCTCTCTTCAGTGCTAGGTTTAAAAATCTAGTTCGAAGCCTGGATTTTTTTACATAGCAAGTGATCCTATTTCCTCAGAATTTGGAGGTCTAGTCAAAAAACAAAGCAAAGTAGATTCCACAAATCAGTCCTCTCTTAGAGGACACAGCAGTCAGAGACCTAACTAGAATGTGGTTGTCTCTTTTCAATCTAAATAAAGAAGGGAAAATACATCTGACCCACTCCAATAAAACTAAATCCAGCACCATCGAAGGGGCCAAATACATCACGATATGATCCACTCATAATTTACAAACTAGTAGGACTTCAGTAACATTTAAAATGCTTGAGAGGAAGTGATATGGAAGCTGCAAAAAGGAAAAGAGATCTTGTTATAGGTAGGTGGGGATAGAGCTATGGCAGTGATGATTGTGCAACTGCTCTCATAAGGGGGCTTCAGCCATTTGACCTTTCTCAGGACAAAAGCCATTCTGTCCCTTGACTTTTAAATATGATTGTTGCAGAAGTTGTTATTATTTATTCAATTTGTATGGCCACCCATCTCATCTAAGTGATTCTGCATAGCTCAAAACAGGTAAAAAAAAATCCAATAAAAACAATATACAAAATCAATATACAAATATATATAAAAACCATCCTTAATCAATTTAAAACAAAAAATCATGATCAGTGGCAGAATCCATCCATACATCAGCTCAATACTGCCACTGTAAAAGGTCCCTGCCTTTGCTAGATCCCCCCCAGACACCATGGCAGAGCCATGTTTTCAGGGCCTTCCTAGAGGCTGGGCAGGTTGGGGCCAATCAAGGGTCCAGGGGGATGATGTTCCACAGGACGAGTGCAAGAAATATCAAAGTACTTCTGCTCCTTTGGCAGAAGAGAGTGGCTGAAAAATATTGGGCCAATGTATCCTCCTTTGCCAAGGATGATTTTTTTGTTTGAGCTATCAGTGGACAATCTTCTGTTAAGAGCATCCGAAGTTTTCCATTCACTTGTCCTGATCCTCGCTCACTTGGCTGTTTATTTACCTCACAATAATTTTTTTCTAAGTCTCAGCAGACAGGAAGCCTGGTCAGAACTCGGATGGGAGACCACCAGAAAATACTAGAGCTGGAAGAAGGCATTGTCAAGACACTTCTGCATTGCTACCAAGAAATCTACATGGATATGTCTGTGAAATTACCAGGAGCTGACCCTTACCTGGGAAAAAAAATACTACTTTTGAATTGTTTTTAAATTTGTACCGATACATAGGCTACAGAACTTTTATGCAAACAGGTGTTCTCCTTTGAGTGACACTGCCCCTTTCCTTTTCCCTTTCTTTCCCTTTCCCAATTCCCTGCAAGGCTCCCCTAAGCGAGAGAAAACAACCATAATCCCACGATAAAATATTTTGATGCGCCTTGATTCAAGTTGCTTGATGCTCCCATGTTGTTGCTTGAAATGTGCTAAATTCAGAACTGAAGACTCAATTTGCTCTGTTTGCAATGTAGACTGGTGAGATTATTTCAACCTGGAGGGAACAGCAACCAGAGAAGGTGCACTTTGTTCCCCAGTGAGTTGCTAACAAGAAATAGTCAAGCATCCGTGATGCTCTGGTATGATTTTCTCACCTACTGAAGAAAGCTTTGCTTTGAAAGAATGCCTCTGTTGATTCTTAGACCTGCAACAAATCACAGCGAACTGTTGCAAAATTATAACAACACAGCTAAAGACAGTCCAGTGCTTTCAAGGAGAGGTGAAAGCAATTTTTCCCATCGCACAGGCACACTTTCATTTTGCCCAGCATCTCTGACCAAGTAGGATTTTTTTTTTTTTTTTAGCACAGCATAGCCCATGATTGGAGATGACTCCATCAAACCCCGTTTCTCTTTCCAAAAGCTCTGTGTGATCTGCCTCCAGTTTTCAGGGCTGCTGCCCGAAGGAATGACCTCGCAAGCTGAAAATGCTTACTTCAAGCGTCCTCACCTTCAGGTTGAGATCTCAGTGCTTCTTAACCACTTTGACTATGCAAAAGGAGGTACAATGAAGTTATAATTAAAGAGTGGGATGAAGCACGTTTAGAGATTATTGGGAACAGTCTGTTCTCTCCCAGGCTGACAGAAAACCGTATTATTCACTTACATAAAAGAACGTGTTCTTCCTTGCATGGATCCTCCGCAACATTTACATCTCTTGCATAGGACCCATTTTGAGAAAGGACGCCACGGGGAGCATTGTTTCCCACCATGGAATTCAGAGTGTCACTGGTCTTCAGTACTACGCAGCCATTCAGCTATTCTCTGATTGATTTCACTCACCAAATGGTGATACAAGCTGATCAGAAGAAGCAAGCGGACTCCCCGCTTCTGTTCAGCTGTCGATCTATGCAATGCAAATAATGTATTTTCTTTTCTTTTGCACTGACTGCAGAATAGATACATCTGGGAATCCGTTTCTCTGCTGTACTAGGGGCCTGCGTGTGTGCGTGAGAGAGAAAGAGAAAGAAGATTTGCATTATGGGGGGGGGGTCATGTCAGAGAGCTAATTAACCTTTCGCTGTTTTGCTTCTCCCCCAGATGGGACCCCCAAATGAAGTTGGCATTTTCAGAAGGGAGAGGGGGAAAGGATGCGGTAATTGAATGGGTCAAAGAAGGAGCGTGCACTCACTTCCACTCAGCTGTTTCTTCAAGACTCCTGCCAATTTACAAGTAGAACATTTGATCTGTGTGGTTCTGTCACATGGCTCTTGGACCATATTTATGCATTAATTTCTTCCCCAAGATGCTGAATTAAAGCCTCAGATGATGCTCTAGCATTTCAGTTGTCACAGTGCTATGAAGAGAATATCTTTATATCTTGCTTAGGGGCATCCCACCATCTGATTAATTGCAATGAGGCCTAAAACTTTGCTGGACTCTCTAGGCCTTTCATGTGTCCCAGCTGTATTTTTCTTAAATTCTTAAATGAAACAGGGAAAGCCAGCAGCCCCAACAAATCTCCAGTCATGGCACAACTAAGTGATGCTGAAAGTTTATCAGAATAAAACCAAGTTTGCCATGCAGTTTGCATATCCTGCTATCCTAAAGACAAACAAATGATACGATGGCTTAGCATATTATGTGAACTCAGCAAATGTAGTTTGTAAATCATGATATATGGCTTGGCCTATTGAACAAGCCTAGCCAGCTGTGATTTTTCAATCAGCTGCA